CACTTTGTTCATTGCTTAATTTCGTCCCTGTAAGAAGGGAGCCAGAAATACTTCGTAATATTTATTATTTGACGAAAATAAATATATTGTAAACAACCTAACTGAAAACGCATTTAAGTAATGCAACTGGGTCGTCGCAGTGAATTTTAAAAAAATGTAATTATAAAAGTAATTATAACTAAACAAAATAAAAAAAATTAAATACTCTTTACTGCAGTCAATAATTGATAATGATATTTGTAAAATTTAAATAAATATTCTGTATTGTATTAGTTGTGTTTATATTTTAATATATTTATTAATTTTAACAGCTACTTCCCTTTCCTGTCTTTTCCACCCAGATAATAACATAGGGGAAGTAATACGTTTTGTGGGTATCATCTGATACTTACGTGCATTGACTCTTCCCACAAGCACAAAACTATTCTTAATAAAATAGTGTGAAAAGTTGTGAGAAGTACTGTTAAGGCTGACTGGCTAATGGGAGAAACCTGCTGAGCCGGTGATATAGTTAAAGAAAAAATAAAATAAAAATTAACAGCTTCTAAAGTGGATTGAGATAGTCCTAGAATAATATTATTTCATTACTAATTTTACTATTCTGCCAAACACGTCTATGTTTTTATATGAATAAATGTTATTTCATATTTAAAGCTATTTATTTTAAATAACAAATCAAATTTATTTTCCTATTACCAAACTATTGAACTAAAAATTGTAGCTCTTTAAAAACTGGGGAATTTTGTACATTGTAAATTTTGGCTCTTGCGTATCAAAAGGAGAATGAAGTGTAGGGTAGCTCGGGGTTTGAGTTAGGCGTGGGTCGGTACAGTGTTGAATTTTTGCTGTTTATGTGTCGTAAGGTCTATTTTATGGCGGTCGGCGCTGTTATTTTAATGTTTTGAATTCTCATTAAATATATATATATATATATATATATATATATATATATATATATATATATATATATATATATATATATATATATATATATATCTTCTGTGGGTGTGCCTTCTCCTTCTATCTCATTGAAATGTGGGTGTGTGAGGATGGTATAGTTAGTTAAAGTATACTAACGACTTCTAATGTCAACACGGATCATATTCAGAATCAAAACCTTAACACGATTTCTACCCGTATAAAACAAAAAATTAAAAGGCCGATGATAGCCGGAAAAAAGATACGCATGCGCAATGAAGAGAAACTACGACTTGCCATCGCGGCGATGTTTTCGATGGTACTGCCCATACGTGTGTTTACAATCGCAGAACCCTAACCCCAACCCCAAATGCTATCCCTAACCGTAGCGCTAACCCTGGCCATGGGTCATGCGCAACATTTATTGTTGGCACCACAAGATGCTAAACGGAATGTATTTATTAATTTTTCCCCTTTTACAAGAGGGCCAGAAATATGCTTAAGTGAAAATTCCAGTGTGTAGTTAGTTCAAAAGAATAATTTTTATATAATACATTTTGAAAGATAGCTAGTATTTCTCATTATATAGAGATATCATTATTTAAAACAATTATGGAAAAAAAAATTAATTATTGAGCAAAATTCAAATTAGAATTCTAATGTTCATAATAATATGGAAAAAATAGTTATTTATATATAGTTTTATATTAATTACATATTTATTTATTTTTGTAAACAATTGACATCGATTATCTCCCTTTCAAGTTTTTCTTAACTTTTACAAAGGGGAAGTAACACTTTTTCTACAGGCCAAACCTACTTGTATTAGCCGCCGCTTTAAAAAAAAAATTGCCAAAATAAACAGCTCACAATTACGCATCTCTTGGTTATGATAAAAACTATTTTAATTTAAGATATAAGATTAACTCGATACACTATGATTACACAGCCCACAATTACTCAAAACTATCCACCTTTTCAACATTCTGTTTTTCTAACTTTTCAGTCTATTCTGGCCTCAAACCACACTATTAAGTACCATAGTCAATAACCATTACCTCCCCTACATGAATAGAACAAACAACTTGTACGGGAGAGAAGTTTTACAAGTTGTAAAATATATTTTAAAAATTCATGTACACACGAAAAAATAAACCGTAAAATAATTAATTATTTAATAATAATGTGTTTTAAGAAAAGGCAAAAAAAAATAAAATAATAATAATATTTATGTTTAACTCACAATACAGACACACAGACTTTATTACACATTTTTTATAACATTTTTACCTTCAAATTACACTTAAGTTTTGGATCCCAGGAATGTGACAAAGTTAAATAATAAGTGCAAGCGTATGTAGACACTTGTCTGTCTGTGGTTGTATGTAGGATAGCTCGCTACATCCGAAAGTATATGCCAGCAGTTCGTACACGATACATTCGTGTGAGTACTGTTGGCTTGTTTCTTAAAGAAGCTAAATGCTCATATTTTACATCATTGTATTCAAGTTGAATGTTAAAAAATAATATGTTGTCCCATCTCATGACAATAAACTATGTGTGATAGTAGAAAGTGTCAATTATTACAATATTACTCTAAAATCAGACACACTGATTTTATTTAAGTTTCAATGTATAAGTTATGTTTACCCCTGTTATTAGAGCGATGTAATTCGCTTCTACATATTTTGTGCATCTGTATATTACTGGTGTGGTTCGATATATGGTCAAGGTTGTGTTAATTGTTATACTATTTGTCTTTATTTATTTTATTTTTGTTGTTAATAGAATGGAATGAGACATGTATATTTATATCAACATAAAGTGAGTCAACATTATGTATCGTTTAATGTCTAGTTTGAAATGTTGGCAAAATTAGTAATAATTATTAGTATTAATTTAAAACGCCTCAGACATAATTGTATGTGTGTGTGGGGGGGGGGGTTGTAGTTAATATATTCGGGATTTATTTTTTGCTGTAATCGTAGGGGGTATATGATATGTGGGGGTGAGAGATAACATAAAAGTTTAGGTAAAAATACGAATAAACGTATCCTATTTTTTTTTACATTCTGATCAATGTACTTTCACATCTTTCATGTTAACATTTTAAACTTTTCAATATATATTAATTTGTTCAGGAAAAAAAAAATAAAAGTATCTACATGGGTGAATAATTAAAGCCATTAATACAATAAATATGTGATTGAATAAATAAATCAAGTAATGATATAGGCACATTTTGCTAAGAAATATTTAAGAGAATCAAAGAACTTTGACTGGATTTATATTATCTGGAAGCTTTTTTTTTCTAGCTTGAATCAGTAGGGGAGAAAAGCATTAATTTCTTGAATAACATAGTATATCCGCTTTTGTTTCCCTTTGACCGTAGGGGCACAAAGTGTATTTCCGTCTATAGAACTGTCTTGGTCTGACTAACACAATACTAGCTAAAAATATATGAGCTTACATATGTACATGGATCGGCATTATTTACGAAATGCATTCAACCATTTTGTGATCATGATAATCATAACACAGTTAGACAGTAAGGCTTGCTGTAAATGGTTTAATTCTAAAAAATGCGCTGGCCAAGCCCGAATTTATTTTCTCCCTCCTGTAGTTGAAAATAAATGGTCACAAGAAAGGACAATAACTATACCAAATAAATGAAACAAATACAAATCGAAAAAGAAAATACAACATAGTTATTAAAGTTTTTCTTATTAAACGTATAAAATTGTACTTTAATCAGATAATGTGAACTAATTTTTAATTTAAAAAAATACAACTCGTATCTTATTTACAAGTAGAAATTAAATCCCTTAATTTTATTTTATTAATTATTGTTTAAGAAATGTTAATATATTTTCAACAATAACTGATTTTCCTGTTTTTGAACTATTTCTGGATCCCTTACAAAAGGGACACAAGTGAATTTAAATTTTGGTTACCGAAGTTTAGTTACAGTTCAGATCTATTTGTGTGTCAAGTATTTAAGTTCCCATTATTTTACTAAAGCTAAAGGGGCGATGTCGCTCTGTCACGTGCCTTTATCTGGTCAGACATGTGGAATAGTTATGTGGTGTAAAGCTATCTCATGAATTAAGTATTGAAAGAAAACTTAGGAGATATGCTAGTGGTGTAGATGCGAATCCTCTTTAATCATGGTTCTTTCAGGCATTTTTATCTAGGTGTCACTAGAGACTCATAAAGTAAAGTATGTCCGTAATTAGCACGCGTTAAAAAACGAACCCATATAAGGGTCATGCATACAATTGTAATCGTATTCGGTTTGTACAGTAGCAGTGCAATGCATATATTTAAATATAACACAAATGAAATAGTTAAAACATACATTTATTTCAGGAGAAATGCAAACACACAAATCATGTATGTGATATGTTTTTTGTAATGTAAAAGAACAGTCAGACGTGGCTGTCATTTATCTCCTATTGCCTTACATACCCAGGGTAAAACCACTAATTTTTTTATATCACAGTCACAGGTAACATTTAAATCTACTGAATAAGTATGAAGTAGACATCACGCAAACCGATAACATTATTTTATATTATTTATCATATTCTCTATTCTCCTCTAAGTCTCTGGTGACACTTAACTTAAAGTTTTCTAAGTTTTTATGTTGATTTTCAAATTAGAAAAAATAGGACTATGGTAGGTAGTAGGTGTAAATGGTGAATGATATTTCTTCTTTTTAATATAATAAAACTGTACATTATTATTATTGATCCCTTATATTGTTGTACACGTCAGTCTTTGTAAACATCCTAGTCACTGTATTGTCTACTCGTCTCCTGTTGTACATAAACCTGTGACTGGTGACCTATGTGTTTCATGGTGCGTGACACGTTTTAGCTACACTTGGCTGAACTACGACTAAAGCTACATATTGTTTGATTGCTATAAAGATTACTCTATGTATATTTAAACAAATAAAACACGTAAAAAGAAATATAATATTATAATTTTTACAATACACCAGATATTAAAATAAATAAACACGGAAAACATTTAAACATGTAAATTGAACCATTTTTGCATTTTTCACACCTCGCTAGATCCGCTTCTCTGATGCCCTCTTAAATGTGACCTGTGCTTGTGACAGATACAATGGACCCAAGCGAGAATAGTCTCAAAGGTATTCGAAAGGACCGTTAAAAAATTATAAAGGCATGGGTGGTGTAATTAATATTAATATGGCTAAAAAATCTTGATTGCTTGGATTTTAATTTTAAAAATAATGGATGTATTTGACGTTTTATTATTTTCGGTAATTAAACACAATTTAAAAAAAAAAAAAGACAGATGCATGCAATTCGTTTTTCACGTTGTAATGGCGACATAAACAATGGCATCCTGCTATTGGATAGGCTTACATTTTATTATACAGAATACATTATGTTGTTTAAAAACTGTATCTGCAAGTTATGTAAACAAATAACTATTGATCACAGATGAGGCTCGTTAGCTGTGGACAGCCACTGTTCTAGGAGAGACAAGTCCACAATCAAACAACTGCTGCCTTGTAGTTTGTTCTTGGTTGCACAAAGGCTGTGGAAGAAAATCCAAAACAATAATAAAATAGGGTGAAATTGGAGTTAATGTCCTCCTTGTCACATAACCAGTTATCACGTATACTTGTGTTAGAGTTAATCCCTTCCAACACTAAAATGGACGAAGAAGAAGATCACGGGTTCCTTTACAGCCAATCAATGTTTGTCTTACAAAAGTGAAACATCCGTTTATAACTTAGGCTTGATGAAAATAAATAGAAATGAAACCATAAACTAAAAAAAAAAAATATTCTCAAGTAATCTGGATTTTCAACTTTTATAGTATTAATATTAATTTAAAAAAATTATTCTTAGGTTTAACCTACAATTGTAGCCTATTTTTTTTTTTTTTTACGGCCGCTATGAAGTTAACATATATATAACATTTCATTTTTTGTTCATGTCTACAATATGTTATAACGATTCTCGTCAACTCGGTGACCTCCATTTTGTGCTAGAAGTCAGTCTACGATAGAATAGTGTGAGTACTGTAGGATAGTTTTTGAAGTTAAATGCCACTATTGTAGATCAATCTATTTTCGTTGATAGGTTGATAGATATATGTGAACATTTATGTTAAAAATAAGACCTTGCCCTCTATCATGACATGAGTGAACTATGTGAGATAGTAGAACGTCTGAGAGTTGAAGTAAAGGGTGAGCGACCACTCAATATGTTGTTTCCGTGATATCGCTCTTTGATTTAAACAACCTTAGTTTTATTTTAATACATTCAAATCAGCAACAACAGAAAGCAACAGTATTTACTCTCAAGTGCAATATTACTTCGAAATCAGGTACGTTGATTTTATCGATGTTTTAATTTAAAATAATGTTTACACATGTTATTAGAGCGAGTAGTTGACAAAGCCCATCCCCCCCCCCCCCGAAGAGAAGTCTGGGAGAAACTTTGCTCGAGTTTGATAACACAAAATTGTACTTTTCTTCCATTACTGCTTGTTCAACAACATATTCATTGTCTATACCGAAGTACCTTAAATGCTAGAAATGTAAAACAAATAAATACAAAAATAACAATTTATGTTGTGTTTTTGAATATTTAAGCTATGTATTCACAACTTTAATTCGTTTCGCTGTATTTTTTTAATGTATCGATCTAATAAGAATGTGATCTACTAGACTGTGTCCTCTTAATTTAAACATACGTAAGTCATTATGTTTAAACACACACACACACACATACACATTGGGCAAGAATGCAAAACTGGACTCTTTTACTCATTAAAGTCTGTCGTTAAACTTAGTTCTTTGTTCATTACCGCAAACAGGTTGTTGTAAAATTCATAAAGAAGAAAGACAAGAGCAAATACCGTTTCTAAAAGTCAATGTCAGAAAAATGCTAAAGTTAACATAAATACCCAAAATACACAAGTGCAGGCCTACTCAATTGCTTTAATATTTTTGATCAAGCTTAATAAAACAAATATAATGTTTAGTGGTATGTTTTCCACACTAAACCTAACGTTACCGTTTATTTTATTTTAATTAGTCCCTTACGTAAGAGATCCAGAAACAAACCGATTGTTGCAAGAGAATGAGATTAAACAAATGTTAACACTACTTAATTAATTATTCTTAAAATAAAGCTCATGTGTATTAATTGTAAGTGAAAATATGGTAAAAGTTGTATTTTATTTTATCCTTAACTGGTACACAATTTTTTGTCTACAAAATAATTGCACACATTGTATAAGTAAAACAGTAATAGACATAGTGCATTTTGTTATGAGTTGTTCGATTCGTATTTGTTTGAGCTATTTTGTTACGTTATTTCCCTTGTATTTAAAAATTGTGTCCCTTCTGTAAAGGATACAGAATTAATAGTAAACAAAGGGATTTGCGTGTAGCTATGCATTTTTTTTTCTTGCTTTAAAAACTTTTTTTTTTAAATAAAGTAAATGTTTATTCTGAGTGAAAAGGATATATAAGATAAAGGTTGAAACAATCGATATTACTGCACGATATTGTGATTTATATAAAATTATGTACATTAACATTTTTAAACATTAAAAAAAACCACGTCGTATTATATTACTGCTTTTACAATTAAATTTGCACTGCGTTTTAATTAGCTATGAACTTTTTTGAACATAACAATTTTTTTAAAAGATGAATTTACTTTTCCTAAATTTTCTTGCAATTTTTTAACAAAATAAAGTTCACAAACAAATATCTTATTGTCAAATTAAATATAACCAGACATTGTAGCGTTAAACGCTTGGTGGGGGGGGGGGGAGTGGGTGGATCGCATCAAAGCAAAAAAAAAAAAAAAAAAAAAAAAAAAATATATATATATATATATATATATATATATATATATATATATATATATATATATATATATATATATATATATATATATACACTTTACACTTTAATTGAAGTTCCAAAATGCATTCAACTAAAATTGAAAACTCACGAATTGTTGGGGAGGATGACTTCTAAAAGGATTGAGCTGATATTAGAGAAAACAATGCTAGAACCTTCTGTGTTAATCACTGACTAAATATTAGCGCATCGCTATTATTGACTTTCAACAATTTAAATATTTTAGTTTTGTTCACTGGTCACTTGACATGTCTGACTCGACATGATGGCCCCAACACATTGGGCCACAACACGGGTGGCCAAAGGCCATATAGATCTCAACCTATGGACCACAATGATGTGACCTCTGAGAACGGGTTGTAGCGGGTTGTTGTAGTTTGGGTTGAACTTTACCAGGAGGCTCCTAAATTTATTTCTTTAACAAATCATTGTCCCATTTATAGATTTGATGCAATATTTTACTGTTGGCTTTGTAAACTTCTGGCTCTAATAACATGAGTAAACATTATTTATAAATTAAAACTTCGATAAAATCAACGTGTCTGATTTCGGAGTAATATTGCACTTGAGAGTAAATAATTTTGCATCCTGTTGTTGTTGATTTTAATGTATTAAAATAAAACTAAGGTTGTTTAAATCAAAGAGCGAACTCACGGAAACAAAATAGTGAGTGGTCGCTCACCCTTTACTTCAACTGCCCAGACTTTCTACTATATCACATAGTTCACTCATATCATGATAGAGGATAAATTATTATTTTTAACATCAGCTATCACAGATATCTATCAACGAGCATAGATTGATCTACTATAGTGGCATTTAACTTCAGAAAAAACCTGCAGTACTCACACTATTCTATCGTAGACTGACTTCTAGCACAAAATGGAGGTCACCGAGTTGACGAGAATCGTTATAACATATTGTAGACATGAATGATGTTTTTTTTGACTTCATAAAGACAGTAAAAAAAATAATACAAAATAAAAACTTATACCAAAAAAATAATTTAGAAGTTTAATATTTATAGAATCAATGTTATAAAAGTTGCAAATCCAGATAACTTGAGAAGATTTGTTTGAGTTTAAGGTTACATTTATACTTATTTCATCAAGCCCATTTTATAACCGTTTGTTTTATTTTCGTGATACAAACATTGATTGGCTGTAAAGGAACTCCGTGATCTTCTTCTTCGTTCATTTTAGTGTTGGAAGGGATTAACTCTAATACAAGTATACGTGATAACTGGTTATGCGCCATTGTGGCCTTTGACTCCAAATTTACCCTATTTTCCTTTTTTTTTTGGTTTGCTTCCATAGCCTTTGTGCAACCAAGAATAAACTACAAGGCAGCAGTTGTTTGATTTTGGACGTGTCTCTCCTAGAAGAGTGGCTGTCCCCAGCTAACGAACCTCATCTGCCAGAGACTTTGTGATCGATAGTTATTTGTTTACATAACTTGCAGAAACCGTTTTTATACAACATAATGTATTTTGTATAATAAAATGTAAGCCTATCGAATATCAGAATTTCATTGTTTATGTCGCCATTACTACGTAATTTTACTACCGAAAATACTAAAACGTCAAATACATCCAGTCTTTTTGACATGAAAATAAAAACCCAAGCAATCACGATTGTATAGCCATATTAATATTAATTACATCACGCATGCTTTTATAATTATTTAATGGGCCTTTCGAATACCTATGAAACTATTCTCGCTTGGGTCCATTGTATCCGTCACAAGCACAGGTCACATTTAAGAGGGTATCAGAGAGGCGGATCTAGCGCGGTGTTGTGAAAAATGCAAAAATGGTTCAATTCACATGTTTAAATGGTTTTCGTGTTTATTTATTTTAATATCTGGCCTGATGCAAAAGTTGTAATATTATATTTCTTTTTACGTGTCTTATTTCTTTAAATATACATAGAGTAATCTTTATAGCAATCAAACAATATGTAGCTTTAGTGGTAGTTCAGCCAAGTGTAGCTAAAACGTGTCACGCACCATGACACACATAGGTCACCAGTCACAGGTTTATGTACAACAGGAGACGAGTAGACAATACAGTGACTAGGATGTTTACAAAGACTGACGTGTACAGTGATGTAGGGGATCAATCCACACAAATGTTGAAGTTAAGACCCTCGAGCCCGACCTTTTTGATCCCACTTTGTCCCCTCGCCAGGCTTTAATCCTCGGATTTCGAACACAATAACTAAGGATTTA